CCTTGACGGTCTTGACGAAGGTCTGGTATGGGGAAACCAGCCTTGACAGACGATGCTTGAGTTCGACGTCTGCCTTGTGCCTCTCTTCTGACTCTTTCAGTTCCTCAGCCTTGGCCTTCTCATATGCTGCGAGATCTTCTTCCTGCTGCTTCTCGTAGTCAGTCTTGAGATGCTTAATCTCTTCCTTGCGGTAGGCTCGCTCCAAATGATCGATACGCTTGCCGGCAATGCGGAGTTGCTCGCCGAGCTGGCTCTTCTCCCTCTCAAGAGCTTGAAGCTTCAAGAAGCGTATTCTCTGGGAATCGAGATCGTCAAGATCCTCAGGAAGCTCAATGTCGACCTTGGTAGTCGCCTTGAGCTCTTTGATTTGCTTCTCCATCTCCTCACGTTGGATGCGCTTCTGTTCAGCTTTGATGCGCTGTTCAGCACGTTGCTTCTGCTCTTCGGCCAGGCGTCGAGCTTCCTCATCCTTGATCTGTTGTTGGCGAATGAGCCTCTTGGTCTGCTCTTCATTCTCCTTGGCCTGTTGAGCCTTGAGCGCAGCCTCCTTCTTTTGGGAGATGATGTCGCGGCGGGTGAGTATCTCTTGATGCTCCTTCTCGGCGCCTTCCTTGGCTCGTGCAAGAGCGGCCTCCTTATTGCGCTGCCGTTCCGAGTTGAACGAAGGATCGACGTATTGGCAAGTGACAAAGAGTGATTTAGCGAGACGAGTGAGCTGAGATCGGACAATCTCAGCTGGGGTGCTCTGCAGACGCTGAACAGAGCGAGACTCAGTTTCGGCTGATCCGGCACCTGAACCGGGGTGCATAGCTTTAGCCGAGGAGAAGACGTCAGAATCGAAGGTGAGCACACCAGTGGCATGGTCGGTGCGGATGGCAAGGTCTCCCTTCTTGCATCCGTTCATGATAAACTTCTCAATAGTACCGGCGCTGACGTGGAACGGCTCTGGGAACTGGGCGAGGCCAAGCACAAACTTGATCTCAACAGAATCGTAGACTTGAGACAGTTGCTGGAACAGGCGGGTAAGGATGACCTGCTGGAGCGGGCCAACGTACTTTTCCATCCCCTCATCAGCACCAATCTGAGACAAGATTGGGGAGATCTTCTTGCAAATAGAGAGGGGATGGAAATCGACCTCGAGGATATTGTAAAGATCGCGAATTTCAGGGCGGGCACGCTTGAGCAGACCCTTGCTGAGAGCGTCCTTGAAGAGAATGGCACGGGTGGGGGCCTGGGACATGCCGAGTAAGTTGGTGAGGCGTGAATTCTTGTTCTTCCTTGCCTCGTCAACGTCAACGAGAGCACCGCGGGAGCGGGAAGTGCTGATGACAGGGATGGCGAGAGCAGAGAGGAGTACAAAAGAAGCAGCCTTGGTCATGTCGGCTTCCGTGACAGCAGGGTTATCCTTCTTGGGGCTCTGGCCAGATGCAACGGCTGCAGCGGACTGGCGAAGGAGGTTGTAGTATCGACTGTAAGCGGCAGCGTGGAAGAGGTAGTTCTCGCTGACCAAGAAGATGCGGGTGAGCTTCTCGAAGTAGTTGGCCATCATGATGTTCTTGGCTGGGCGCTTGCTCAAGCTGAGCAGTGTGTGGATGTCCTCGACGCTGCGGAAGGCCTCCTGCCACAGCTCAAGCTCAACGGCCACGTTCAGCTGCTGGAAGCGGGTGTCTAGGTGACGCTGTAGGGTGTCTGGATCAGACAGGTTGATGGCGTGCATCTGAGAGGAGAACTTGGCGGCATTCTGCAAATGGTTGCGGAGCAGCTCACAGAGACGACGGAACTCGGTCTTGCGGGCGTACTTGGAGCAGAACTGGAAGGCCTGGTGGGCGGTCGACTGGTACATGAGCTCGAGGCGGGCGTTGTTCTTGAAGATGTCCAGGACGGTTCGGTAGGTCTCCCACAGGAACTTGAGCCATGGTGTTACAATGGCACGGTCGGTGCGGTCGCGCGATTGCTCTCCAGAGACGGTGGAGAGGAGGATCGACTCGGGCGTCTCGGTGGCCTCTAGATCGTCGACATTCTTGTCGTCAGAGGGCTCGAGCGAGGACTGAACCTCATCTGCCTTGGCCTGGGCCTCGGTGACCTTTTGCTCGGCGAGTTCGATGAAGCGCTTGAAGACAGTCTATAGCGGGTTAGTGCCAGCCGACGACAACTCCTTGGGCGGGTGTCCTACCTCGATGGTGCCAACGTTGGTGTTCTGGGCGGTGTTCTTGTACTGGTAGAGACCGTCCTTGGCCAGCTTGCCCTTGCGTAGGTCGACACAGAGCTCGACAAAGAGGATCATGACAGGCTCGAGCGAGGCGATGGGGCTGTTGCGGGTGCGCTTCGAGGTGACATGTTCGTGGAGTAGCTGGAGGGCAGCCTGCTGCTGCTCGACTCCGATGAGTTCTTGGGCACGTTTCCTGGAGCGTGTCAGTGGTGGTGCGGCCTAGAGGGCTTGTTCGAGGCGGGGCGCACAGTGTGTTCTCAGGCTTGGAGTGCGGTGGAGGCGCCATGCTGGGCAAGTTGAGGTCGCGGATCCAACTGCACGAGTCGGATGGGCTTTGTAGCAGGCAGGCGACGCAGCGGAAGGCTTGGGGTTGAGATATGGGTGGGCGGGTCTCACACGGCGACGGAGTCAGGTCTGCAAAATGGTTGTGGTAGGCCTTAGTAAGCGAGCGGGCGAGGTATTCCCAGGCGCCGGCAGGTTCGCGCCCGACTCCCCGCAGATGCAAGACTTCGGAGGCGCGCTGGGGTGTCTGAGTGAATCACGGCTACGGTGCGGTCGCAGGCAGTCACTCTGTCGCATGCAACGCGCACCTCGAGTCACGGGATTCCTCTTGGGTCGACGACACGATGGCGAGAGATTGGCTGTGGCGGCGGGCGAGGACAAAGCGCTCGTTAAACCCAATATGGCGCTATACCGCAAGCGTTGGGGCCCGACGAACAGACCCATCAAGGGGAGGGCCCTCATCTTCCAACCACCTCTCCTGGTTCCCGTGCTTCACCTGTCGCCCATCTCAGCAACTCGTCGTCAACGCCCTCGCAGCAGCCTTGCTCTCGCGCTGATACTCGGCGGCAGGCTCACCCGGCTGGCCGTCCTTCGCTCCTTACTCTCCCTTCACCAGCTCACCCTGTCCGCGCCGCACGCCCGACACGCCCAAGTCACGTCGCACCACGACGCACCCCCCATAATACCATCAACCCCAACGCCCCTCGCACCCCCATAATACTCACACGCGCCCCATGCCCGTCATGATGGCTCAAGCACCCTACGAGATACGGACGGGCGGCGACGGCAAGAGCAAGAAGCAGAGCATGGCCGAGCTCAAGCTGCGACGTCTGACCGAACTCAACCAGCGCCTGCGCGAGGACCTCGAGCGCCGCAGGATACCCGTATCGGAAGCCGCGTTAGAGTACGTTTAGGACCAAGTCGCCGTGCCCCGACGAACAAGACGGCTAACAGGCACCCGCAGTCTCATTGCATTCACGGATAAAGAACCCAAAGATTGGATGGTACCGTCACGATGGGGAACGGTCAGTACTCGCGCGCAAGCTGTTCGGCTCACTCGACTAACGCACGCCCAGATTGACAAGCGCGACGACCCCTACGCGCCACAACAGAGCAACGGCTGCTGCATCGTAATGTAAACGACGAAGAAGATGCAGGTGGTCATGTCCTTTACCGGCGTTCTGCGGGGCCCTTTTACGGCAGAGCCTGTTTTCTTTTACCCTTAGGAGGAAGTTGATTAATACCCAAGGACCCGGAGTGGCCCAGTCTCGCGCAGTCGTCCTGGGAGCGAGGCCACCAGACGGGCCATGTACTTTTCAGCAATGTGTAAATTACTCGGATGCGGAGCTCGCTGCAGTTGACGTTTGCAGCGCAGCGGGGATTTCTGCATTTTCTTTTGGTCGGTCACGGCGGCTTTTTAGGTTCTACAATCACGAGACAAAAGCACTCTCATAATTCACTGTCGTCGTCTTTGACATTCCCACATGTGACCAGTGCTTGTCATAGCCAGCCTCGACATGTCGCCGTAGAAACGAGGCCATCTGGACAGGCGGGAACTTGCTGGAAGGGGTAGGTGGCTACATGCTAGGGCAAACGAGATTAACAAGGCGCATCGACATGGCGCGCTCTACCGGCAAACAATCGTAGTCAGTCGCGCTACAGCCCAATCAGCCTGCCGTAAAACAAACATGGCTTCGCCCAACCAGACGTCTTCACGTGCAGCTGCAGGACGAGGCAGCTCGAGTCTGCCGTTCGCTCGACCAGCTGGCTGGCGCAGCCATGTCCAATGTACCATGCACTGGCATGGGACGCAAGTCAACAAGGAACGAATGCAAAGGGCAGCTGTCCTCGCCTACGCCTCCCCCGGTGGAGTGCGGGACCGGCACTATTGGCCGACTAGTCTTGTATGCAATCCATCGCTGCAGCTTCGCAGACCCCGAAGCGCGGCCCAGCAGTCGAATCAAGTGAATGACGAGGGCATTGCGCAGTAGCTGTTCTCTTGTCTATGTATGTGTGTGGTATGCATCCCACGCGCGCGAGTCAAGTCATCTGTGAGCCGCTGGTCAACACCATGCATCCAACTCGACGACCGGGCGAGGGCTGAATGTCATGTGGGCTAGTTGCTGGGTGCTGGCACGGCACCTGATAATAGGCTGAGGACGCGAGGCCAGGTTTTGCAAGCCGCAGTGGGCTATAGCCCGCGCTGCATTCGACGTGCGCGGGCGAACTGCCCCCCAGCCCAGTCTTATCAAATCACCGTGGGGGCCTACCACCCGGCCTCTTCTCGTGCAGTGCCTCGTCCTGACCCCGACGACACTCTCTTCAGTATCCACTGGAGAGAGCGACGCCCGAGTCGCAGCCCGCTGCACCCTCGCCAGACGCGAATCTGAGCCGACGCACATGCGAAGCAGACGCAGCAGCCCGGTCCCAATCCCGCGCAGCCCCACCCGCCCATCTTCGCAACGCCAATTTTCTCTCTCCCCTCCGCCCAGGGTCCCGCGCCGACGATATGAACAGCTCGACTGCGCAGTCGTGGAGTGCTGCCGAGCACTTCCAAATGGACCCGCCCGCTGAAGACTTTGCCGGCGCTGAATTCATCGACTTCGACAATCTTGACCTGCACTTCAGCATCGATGGGTACAATCACGAAGGACCCGCCTCTAATGGGAACCAACTCGCCGATCTGACCGAGTCGCTCAATGTCCACCATCTCCAGGGCCAGTTTCCCCCGCAACTTCCCCAGGACCACCATCATGGCCCCAACACCAGACAGCACGCCCAGAATCTGCCTGGCCATGGCTTGTCCCAGTCAGCCAACACTTTCTTCGACTATGGCATGGCCCAGTACAGCCAGGCTGGCACCCCGTCTTTCACCCAGGCCCAGGACCAGATTTACCGCCCACACCAGGGTGTTCCGCCCACGCCAAATAGCATAGAAATGCATGGCGACCCCCATCGCTATCTCCAACAATCAGATCACCACCAGTCGCTGTTCGACCAGAGATATCATATGCGCAAGGACGATGCGGTATGTTGGACTCGGACACTACCACAGAATCCCACTGACCCGTATAGACTTTCACCCCACTAGTTTCGCCTGCCGTGACGCCCCACGATGCGCGCTTCCAGATTCCCGACTTCACAATGCCCGGAGCCTACTTCAGCCCTCTTACATCCCCTGCCTTGAATGCCCAGAGCCAACAGCATGTGCACCACCAGTCGCAGCACACAACGTCCGGGAGCTCGACAGGCCACTCGCCCATCGATGTGGATACGGACATGCTAGGGGAACCTGCCCTGGTGCCACAGGAACAAGGACGCAGGAGTCTACGGAGTACCAACAAAAGGAATGCGCCGCGCACAAACGGCAACGGCCGTGTACGACAGTCCCCTATCGTTAAACCTAACAGGCGGAAAGCAACTGTGTCCTCTCTCATTCCACCCAAGGAGGTGACCGAACTCATGCAGGATGCGCGACTGACACGCCCGTCTGCCAACGGTCTGGATGTGCCAAGGACTCGTGAAAGCTCAGAAACCGATTCTATATCTCCTGAGCCTATGCTGTCGGAGATGCGACCGCCGCCGAAGCCTACTTCTTCAACAGCTTCCCCTGCCATGATGGCCCAGCGCAGCAGCCAGAACGGCACTCCGGCCACTCCTGCATCTCTCATGCGGATACAACCTTCGCCCGATGTCAGTGGCTCCCAAGAAGCACCACCAATGCTGGAGGATCTCACCCTACCAGAGGCATCACTAGACAGACCAGGGCTATCAAGAATCGACACAGCTATCCGGAATGGTGATGGTGACGCCTCTCGTATGTCTGCGCGGAAGACACCCAAGTTGAATCCTCTGAGCACGCCAGGCGCCTCCATGTCAGCCAGACCTAGTCCGATGCTGGACGCCATGTCTACCCCAACGAGTCCAGCCTTCTCTATAACTAATGGCAAGAAGGACCCAAAACTGGCGCGCAACCCCAAGAAGAGGAACAGCGTTAGCTCGAGTCTTGTCAGCCCTGCATTGAGGCCCAAGATCTCACCAAGCATAAAGCCTTTACTACCCGACGGCGGAAGTGGTAAGTACCCCTCAGTATCTGACTTGCTGTCTAATCTAATTTGCAACAGGGGTAACTGACAACACCCATGCCCTTCTCCTAGCATCCAAGTCAAACTACCAGAACATACTTGATGGCACCACCGTCCCCGGAGTCGTCTACCCCACATCACTTTCCACTAACCTCACTTCAAAACGCACATCTCACAAGATCGCCGAGCAAGGCCGCCGAAATCGCATAAATATGGCCCTCCAAGAAATGCAGGCTCTTCTCCCTTCACCGCAGCTTGGTGCTATTCCAGACGCCAAAAGCCCCGATACAAACGCCCAAAACTCCAACAACTCCAAAGCGGCAAAGGTTGAAAGCGCCATCGAATACATCAAGCAGCTGAAACAGGAGGTATCGGAGCGGGACGACTTGATCAGCCGAAAGGACAAAGAGATGGATGCACTGAAAAAAGAGCTCGCTGCGCTGAAGGGGAAAGGATCAGAGGTTTTGACTCCCGAGGCAGCAGCCCAGCTCAAGGCTGAGCCCTCTTCCAGCCCCAACACTGAGAACGAGACTTGACGAGGCACGGTGATGATACGAGTTATCCATCTACCTGATATTGCTCGGCTGAGCATTTGGTAACATCTGCACGCTACGTACGCATCCTGCTTTCTGCACTGCATCAGAAACGACGTAGTCGCCACATGGCAACGTCAGTTCGACGTTTCCATACTGTCGTGACCGTGTTCAGCAACACTCGAGACGGGGCCCATGTTCCACCTTACCGTACATGCTACATTAATTTGGTGGTTATCGGATTCGCGTTGAACTCAAGGGAAAACGTCTAGTCTGGACAAGACGACGTTTGTGACTTGTTCACATGTTAATACCCAAGATCCATACCTTGTGTGTGTTACAATGGCATGCAAATGTTTGTCTGGAAGCAGACAGGATTGTTAGCATACCAATTCATGTGAAAGCATCATGTACTGGTACAACCAGATGTATCGAATATTTGAACCCAATCAATATGTGTGGTGCATCTTAGAAAAACAAAAAACATCAATGCTTCAAGTCTTTCCAACCTCAACGCCCTACTGTATGGCTGCCACAGCAATGCAAATGGCCAAAAAAAATACCCTATATAGTCCCTTAACGCTATATGCAGATGAAAACCGTCCCGCAAAAAACTCCGGTGTAATGCAATGTCATGAGCAGATCATAGCAGTAACCCGGGAAAACGCCTCGCTTCATGCTCTAGAACTGAAAGGTGAAGGTAGTGTGAAGTCCAACAACATAAGAGACAAAAAGCGAACGTGAGAAAACGACATGAACGAAACGAAGGTGTTCTATCCCACGAGAGAACTTGAACATAGAATAAAAGTGGCATGATACTTGTGTACTTACACCTTCCGCGCACCAAAGAGACTTAAGTTGATTGCAGTCTCATTTCCATTCGGGTTACCAGAAGATTCGGCTAGAATTTCCCACCTAGGCTGTACAAAAGGATAGTGCCGTATCTCCCGGTCTTGCCTCATTTGCAGCTTGCCCGGCGCCTGCGCAATCATCTGGCTCTGGCTACTAGATTGGCCTTGACCCGCTGCAGGAGTAGGACGCTGCGAGTAGACGGGCGATGGTTGCATGGCGCGCTGTTGCATTTGCTGCATCTGTTGCATTTGCGACATTTGCTGCAGTGGAGAGGGTGAGGCCTGGCCTGACGGGGTTCTTTGGAGTTGTGCGGGCAGCATCTTGTTCTGCGGGTGCTGGTGGTACTGCTGCTGCGCACGTATCTGTTGAGCCTGTTGAGCCGCTTGCATTTGCTGTTGTCTTTGTTGTTGCTGTTGGAAATAGCGTTGTTGCGGTGTTGCAGAGCCACTCGCAGGTACCTGCGGGCTCTGGTACGGTGATGGCTGATTCTGAAGGGGCGTTGGTGTCGGTGGTTGCGACGATGCCTGGACCAGAGGGGTGTTGACGGGCTTGGCCAGGACAAGCCAGCCGTCGACGGGAGCCGTTACTCCCAGGATGAAGACACAACGCGCATCGCTTGCAAGCCTTGCTCCTTCCAACCGAGTAACGTGGAACCGAACGTCATCCGTTATGTAATCGGCCAAGAACACAGTGACATCAAAGACATGTTCGGTAATCGTAGGATATAGTTCCAAAGACGGATGCATGAGCAAGGCAGCCATGGCACTCATCAAAGCGGTCTGATGTGGATGTGTAGCCTCGGCCAACATGTCCGGTGCATGAGATACTACCAGACGAAGTAGGGCGTTCAACCAAACATAAATCTCTAGAACAGAGAGTCTGTTGTCTTCAAGAGCTTGACTTATGCCTTTGAACCTCTCGACCAAGGCTTGGAGAAGCGCAATCTGTTCCGTAGATGTCGCGCGCTTGTTGGAAGTCAGATCGATGACAGTGAGATATTTTTGTACTACTGCGGGCGAGACCTTTTCTGGTTCCTCTACTTTGACGGTGGATGTCATACACAAAAAGCTAGAGGCATTCAAGATCTCGCGTTCAGCGTGCTGTCGTATTTGGTCGGTGAGAGCAGCGTCCAAGCTCGCAAGTAGCCCTAGTCCTGAAGGTTGATCCTCTTCCACTGCTGTCTTGATGGCACTCAAGAGAGAAGCAGAAAGTACCTCACCGGAGCCTCCCAGCGCGGTTGCACTAGATGAGAACAGCTGCTCGATAGTCGCTTGGCAGATTGGTAAAGACAACTCGCTAGTAAGTGCAAAGACTGCAAGTACCTGCTGTTCAGGGCTCTTGTCGGGCAACCGTAAGTGACCTTTGGGGTCAAGTAGGCTGTCCAACGACGGCTTGAGCAAATGACTCGAGGCATCCCTGTTCAACTTTGACAAGCATCCTGGATCGCCGGCAATGCGATGTTTCAGAACATGCAGCATGGGCTTACTGCGTAGGAACTCTGAGACTTGTCCCTGAGCCTTCTGAGAAGTAATGGTTGAAGCAAGCCCAATCACCTCACTAACACATTGCGTAAAGCACCCTTCGGTTTCCAAGCAGAGCTTTCGTTGCTCCAAGCGGTATCGATATGCATCTTGCGGCGAACAAGACTGAACTAGAGCGTCAGACGGCAGAGTGATCATCATGCCTTTGAGAGCAGTTTGGAGGCCACCTTCAGAAGGATTGGTCTTGAATTTTGCGATGCAAGTTCTGAGTGAATCAAGGAAGGACGCCAAAGGAATACAGCCTGAACCAACAAGTGTAGGCAAGGCTACCCGTAGGGTATCAGTCCTTTGAGCCATCAAGCTCAGAAGCAGCCATTCATTCACGACCATGTCGAAGGTCGGCTCATCGAAGCAGCGCAGCCGATGGAACCATGCATGGTGATTGTTCAAGTGGAAAGAGCCCTTGGCTAGATGTTCCTCTAGGTTGCTGACGATCTTCCTCAGTACTCGGCCCATCATCTGTTGATCCATGCTGGTACCACTCGAAAGTATGCGTTCAATCTCGTCATTGGAAGACGATCCTGTTTGCATGACCTCACCCATGTTGTCGGAGGCTGGTGAACAGGCTACAAGAGAGTTCCTTTGGTTCAGTTGGCTCAAATCATAGTTGAGGAGCTGGGGGAGTTGGCCATCAGCTTGTGCTGTACGAGCTAGACTGGCAAGACTAAGCAGTAATTCGCGATCCGGGAGTCGGACAGTTCGCAGAGCGGCATATCTTGTGGCAATTCTAGCAAACAGTGGGTCAAAGGCACCTATTGCGCGAAAGGTTCTGGCGTGGTAGTTGATCGTGTCCGCAGCAGAAGCAAGAACACTGGAGTCCAAGGATGTAGTTGCGACGCCGACAATGTCCGCAAGGATAGCAAGGTCTCCGAATCGCTCAAGGTACGATCTTACAGTGTGAAAGTCCCAGGGCGTTAGAAGAGAGACCGCGGCGGTTTCTTCGACTGAGGAGTCCTTCGTGGGTATGCTGTGTAATGTAAGCGAAGTCATGGTTAATTTACGAGAATACTTACTGCGCGCTAACCTCGGCATACTGAGCGACGTGTTGACGCAACCAAATGCCCAGTTCGAGCTTGATCGTCGAACTGAGCTTGTCTAGCTCTTCGTCGTTGAGCTTATTTGTGGTACTGTAGATGCCAAACAAGGTAGGTAAGGTCTGAGATATCATGTGCTCAGCGTAGCCAAGAGCTCGTTGTTCCAATTCGGCGGAGTGTAAGGTTCCACGGAGGAGTGTGCTCCGCAATGTACGGATTTGGTCCGGTAGCCCACTGAGGGGTATCTCGGTAATCAAACGCAACGGCCAGGACTGCGGCTATCGAATAGTTAGAACCAACAGATGGAACTTGTGGGGCATGACTTACTGAAGACAGATCTGTATTGTGACCTGTAGATCCCGTAGCAATAAGCCACTGAAGGTAGCGCCCAGTAGCGAAAGTCTTTGAACGGACCAGTTCAGCAACGATTTTGAAGAGTATACTTGAATCGCCGGTAGCAACCCACGTCATGTCGCGGAGGTGTGAAACTATGCCGTCATATACGTCCGCGCCGAGATGGTTCCATCGACGAAGTAATCGCGTCGCCAGATAGATCCTGTGTGCTCCTGCTCGGTAATAAGTACATGCCCACTGGAGTAGAACACCGATCAAGCGTGGAGCGTCGGCGATTATCTCCATGCAGTCACAGGACAAGTCCTCAATACGCACTGGCTTGCTGTAGTCTACCGAGTCCAGTACCCGATAGACGCGGCCAGCCGGTGTCTGTGAGGCCGAAGGAACTTTCTTCGGCGATCGCAGGAGCCTAGCGTTCCTCAGCTCGAGCCTCCGGATCGCTTGCATGACATGTGCATGATTCTTCCTTTCAGCGAGATTCCGCAAGAGGGGACAATATCTGGCCCACGCAGTCGGAAGCAGCAGGCAAGCAGGTCGTGTGGCGAGCAAGCGGACAATGGTGTTTTCAAGGTATTGCAAAACGGCGATATAAGGTCGCAGATCCTCAAGTCGATAGATCTTGTCGAGCTGGGTGAGCAATGACTCGGCGAGACGTTTGCCGCGGCGTCGACAGCAGGTTACAGCGGTCCAGTAGTGTGATATGGAAACGACCAGCAGCCAGATAAATAGGCGTTCCGAGGGACAGGTATCCAAGCCATTGACTATCCAGTCGAGAAAGTGGTCGTCGTCGAGCAGATGCTCTTTGTAGAGATGGGTCGCAAGCTGGAGGGCGTAGGTGATGCGGGGTTTCCAATCACCCTGGCCAATGGTACTGATGACGCCATCTATGAATTGCTCGACCGAACTGGTCCAGCCTCTGCCCCATGTCACGGTACCGGCCTGGCCCTTTCTTTTATGCGCACGCAGCTCGTTGATACCTACGCATTTGGCCAGCCACAGGGCTCTCGGCAGAGGAATGTGCTTGTTCAGACATTGTTCGAGCAGCACTTTGCCAGTGAGGCCGTGGGGTATGGTGCGGCTGAGGCGGCGAAGGCCAATGGTTGGGTTGGCCAAGTCGTGCAGCCACTGCTCGCGGGTCGAGTCTCGCAGGGTCAATCGCGGCGGGGGCTTGAAGGTGTTTGGGGTTTGGAGGCGGCCCGTCTGCTGTCGCTTCTCCAGCACGGCGACGAACAGGGTCGACAGGGTGCTGAGGCCCGACTTGTTCTTGAGGTTGTTGATGAGCGAGGGGCGTGCGGTGTTGGACTCGTTCATGATCTGGGGCTTGTTGCTGACGCCTGCCTTGACTAGCGCCTCGGACAGGTTGTCCTCGGGGTTGTTGCCGGTCCATGGAAACAGATCGGCAGCCTTCCCACCGGGAAAATGGACGGGTGGAACGACGACTTCGGGCCCACCGGGTTTGGGCGCGTCCTTGACTCCGGTGCCGCCGGGCAGTATGCGACGCTGGTGCGAAGCGTCTCTCAGGTGCAGGGAGCCCGGGCGTGGGGGCTGGGGCAGGTTGGCGGCCGGCTGGTAGGGAAAGGAGTGCAGGGGCAGCTCGGTGCCGTGGGTCGGGATGGTGGTGTAGAACAGCGGCGGGCGTCCTCGCGGGGGCGGCCTCGCGGCATCGTGGAGGGCAGCGTGTGCCGGTGGACGGTCGTCCTCTAGGGCCGGGTCGATGCAGTCCGGCTGAAGGAGGGTGTGGGCGGGCTTCGAGGGCCGGCGCTGCACCTGGGACCGAGGAGGCAGGGCGCTGCCACGAGTCTGTAGAGATTCGTGAATCCCCGGGCCAGGTCGAGAAGTCATCGCACACACAGCGGCTTCATCGTTGTATCAGGCGCATGCAGTGGGTGGGCCAAGGGAGCGAGCGACGAGGGCTGCGAGGTCAGGAGCCGCGTCGATGGGGCGGCGGCATGTGCGAGCCTCACACGCGGGCAGCAAAGGAGGGACGGCGGTGCGGCTCGGATGGGGCTGATGGGCAGAGCGAGGCGTGTCGAGGGAGCGACGGTTGACGTGATGTCTGAGGTTATCTTGGATTGCGAACAGCGGAGTCGATCACCCGGTAATACGATAGAGCGAGCAGGGATCCACACTACGACGCACTACGACGGGGGCCAGCGCCATGCCGGCCCAGCAAGACACACAGCCGCCGCTCACGCCGCCCAGTCCGAGTGCTGCACCCTATCCTCCACCACCCATCTCCACCCGCCCACACACCTGCCTACACCTGCCCGACACCTGACCGCCAGCTCCACGATGGCCTCCAGAAAAGACATGCGCCGCGCCGACCTGAGTACGTGATGCCGCACCGCGCCCTCATAGGGGTTCCACGGCTCGACCCGTCCATCCCAACGCCATTGATCACGTGTCTAACCCACCTCCTCCTGCAGTCGTGCCCTATGCCGAGCCAGAGAAGGCCAAGGACGACAACGACATGTCGAGCACGCTCTCGAGCACACTGCCCATGGCTGCTGTAAGTGCTGCTCTCCCAATCCCATGTTGCACAGCTGATATCGTGTCCCAGATCTTCACGCGGAACAAGTAGGCAACACCCAGATGCGCGCAAAACTCCATGACTGACATCACGCGTGCTGCACAGGATGATCGGCTGGTAGGCTTCCCCATCTTGTGCCACGTTCCCTAATTGACTCGACGCAGGGTTGCTGTAGTATTCGCTATCCAGTCGTGGCTTGCTGAGACCCCCGAGCAGAAGAAGACGTCGACTACACCCGCCTACTTCCAGGTTGGCATGTCTGGTATGTGCCCATTCCCGTTGTGCTTGCTCAGACAGCTAACCAGATCACAGCCATGTCGCTCCTCGTTGTAAGTTCGGCCCTGGCTCCGACAGATCTCGTGTTGATGCTGTACCACAGACCTACTCGTCAATATTCCTCCCCCCACCACCTATCAGGCCGGGCCAAGCATCTGGCACGGAGGCGTTTGCTGCTGCGCCGCCGTCGTAGGCCGCCGTAGGAGAGGTTGGTGCGTAGCCGGTACTCAGGTAGCAACGGTACCGTGTAATTGTATAATTCGACGTCCTCGCCGAGCAAGCGACAATACATGTCAGCTCGCTCGTAATACCCATATCACTTGCACGCCCCATGTGTCCCATGCCACCCTCGTCTTGTCTCATTCGCACCTCCAGCCTCGCATCCGGTACCGAATCAGCCCTGAACGGCAAGCATCACCCTTTTGGCGCGCACAGACCACGGCGGGGCTCGCCTTCCTCTCCCGCCGCATTCCCCACCTCTTTCTCTCAACCTGCTCGACGCTACAAACCTTGGAACCCTCACTTGCACCCTCCCGACTTGTCACCACCCCAAAACCACCCCAACTCCACTCCCAGCCCACCCAAGAAATCGCCGCTACCCAAAGCATCCATACCCAACTACCCCCCACCTACACGCGCGCTCACCGACTGTCGTATGTCCATCGAGAACCTCAAGACCTTCGGTAAGTCGTGACCCTCGAGGCGCATACCAGGCAGCTACTGACACGATATTCATAGACCCGTTCGCGGAAGCGGATGAAGATACCGGCCAGGTCAAGCAGACTCAGCAGGACTACATTCATATTCGTATCCAACGTAGGTCCCTCACCGCCCTTGCCCACTGATGCAAAAACCTTACCACGCACCCAACCCATTCACACACCTCGCTCCTGCCCACAACGGCCCGCATCTGCCATACGCTATTCTTTAGCCGCACCAGGCTAACACGACATCAGAGCGCAATGGCCGCAAGACCTTGACGACTGTCCAAGGTCTCCCCAAGAAATTTGACCAGAAGAAGATCCTCAAGGTGATTAAAAAGAAGTTTGCCTGCAATGGCACCATTGTAAGCGACGCCGAGATGGGCGAAGTCGTCCAACTCCAAGGCGATCAGCGCAAAGACGTCCAGGACTTCTTGACCGACAAGAAGGAGGGACTTGGTCTTGATGCGAAGACGATCAAGGTGAGTCACAGCCCGGCACGATTTAGCATCGAGTCACAGTCTAATCAGAAATCAGGTCCACGGTTTCTAGTCGTCCATGACTACTACCTTGTGCCTCCTCGATATGCCAGCTGCCCTCGTCCGTGGCACGGCTAAAGCGGCACAGCTTTTTGTAAGCTTGCGTCATACGCCTCTATACCAGGATGAAGAGAGGGGCGGAGTACGAGGCTGGTTCGAGCATATGCGCGGCAGTGGAATGCTGGGCGCCGAATGAATGCGTGTACCTGGATTATCGTTATTGCTACTGGCAAGAGCTCAAATGACATGACCACCTTCCTCTACACAGTGGACTTTTTTCATGTAGCATGCTCCACGTGATGTCCGGTTCAGAGTGGAGCGCATATCTGCAGCTTCAGAGCTGGGTTTCCAGATCATACATGGCTACATCTGAAGTTTCTAGGGCACAATTACATGCCCTCATGATGTCCATCACATGTACAAATATTGTTACAACGTGTCTATCCCCAGAGCTACCAACACTATACAGCACCACCAGCCTGTACGTTCAGCATCTGCGACCAATACAGCTCTTCTCTCGCAAGCACACTCGGCGTGGACGCCTCGGTGAAGCCCCAGACCTTCCAGTCCTCCTCCGTACCCTTGATGACTCTCTTCTGCAACACCAGATACTCGACCACAGTCTTCTTAACTCCATTATCGATAAACGCCTCGTCGCTCTTGGCGACCGGCTTCTCCGTCTCCCCTTCATCCTCGGATTTTTGCCTCTGTTGACGTGCCTTTTCCGCTCGTTGGCGCGCAGCATTTGGGACCCAGGGTAGCCGAGCAGCAGATATGGGAGACTTGGACATTTTGGGCGATGTCGGCGTAGACCGTTCGACGGATTGAACGGATACGAGGCGTACAACGACTTGTCTGTACGCTGTGTCTGGTGTCTGCTCGCCCAAGGGCGACGCGCGGTGGCTCATTACGCGCGCGGATTTGAATTCGTGCAGGTTCCATTTCAGGGTCGTCTTGCCGCGGGCGGCGATTCGTTGCTTGAGTTTCTTTACGAGGGGTGGTAGGCATACTTGCTTGAGGGGCGTTACGTTGCCTCTGTTGGTTGGTTTGTGTTAGTGTGTTTGCAAAGTATGTCATATGAATTTTCGGGAGAGACGTACGAGGCGAAGCTTCTGTAGATGTGCTGGTAGTATCTCTTGGCTAGGACTTTGTATTGTGTGTTATGGAAGAGGTCGACGGGTAGATATTTTGTCCAGCCGGACTTCTGGATGCAATCGCGGTAGTAGTATCGTCTAAGGGTTTATGTTAGTCCTATACGCTTTCAACTTTAATCTCGGATGTGTTGTCCTTCTTCTTCTTCTTCTGCTTCTCCCCTCATGTCCCAGGCCCGGTCCCAACCCGAAGAAAGTCCAACTTACGAGTAGAGACCTGTTGCCTTTTGCTTGACAATCTCCCAGTAATATCTCAGGACCCCTCCGAGGCCGGGCGATTCATTGTACACGTCCAAGAATGGCGCCCTCACGATAGTATTTTGCAGCAGACCAATGTCCTCCGCCATGGCATCTGTGTTGGTTTGCGCTTGCTCAAAGTTGACATTTGGTGAGGGCGAAATTTGGGATCGGGCTGCAGCTATGGCTTGCGCTTTATCTTGTCCGAGTTGTCTGTGCTTTGCTGGGTGTGACGGGGTGCTGGAGAAGGCGCGGCGGGAGGATGGGTGGGTTATGGTGGGTTGGGCGGCGTGCAGGAGGGTTTGGTGGCGGAGGAAGAGACATTGTCGTTGCAGCGCCGGTATCCGTATGCCCCGGAGTGGTATTTGTGAGGACATTGTGGGCGGCTGGCTTATGCTCGGGGCGAGCGTTGGGCGTTCGCGATGAGGATGCTTAATATGTCAAAGTCGATCAATGTTCGGGCGCGAAGTTCGCGCTAGTGAGGTACATGTACGATTGGTCGCACCGTGCCCTGCTGAACTTGCACATTCACAACCTTGGAAGCAAGTTACAAACTACAAGGACCAATGCAGAGAGTACCGGATGCTTTTCTGGTCAGGAATACTGTTCAAGTGCACTTGGTAGGTGAAAGCCGATTTCCGTTCTTTATGCGCAAATCTCATGTCGTCATATATTCTTCCACCTTTCTAACATAATACAAGTACATGCTCGGCAGGAGCAGAGTGGTGATACAAGACGCCGTGTATGCGTCGCAAAATCCCAACTTTTCATAACGCCGTTTGTATGCATCCAGTCCTATACATGTTTACACCACCTCTATACCGGCGTTGGTAATCACATGTTACTGCTCTCTCCGAGGAACTTGAGCACACCTTCATATGTTCCAAACATGATGGCGGCACTAGGTACCACACGGAACATGTGAGGAACCAAACCGCCGTAGAGTGCTGCCATACCCTCTTCCTTCCATATTAGTCGAAAACACTGAATGAGGCCAGTGTACTTCTGTCGGCCATCTTCCATTGGTGCTTGCCGCAGACGCGTTCGCACAACCTCATGGGGATATGTGATAAGCGCTGCGACAAATTTGGCAGATCCAGCGGCAGTCAGCTTGCCAGTCCATGCTACAGTCTGGTCCCACACGGTTGGCGGTCTGCCACTAGCAATGACGCGCTCTTCTCTCCGTGCCAATGACAGCTTCATTTGCTCGTAAAGCATCCACTGTAATGTGCTCTCGGTAACGCCCAAGTAGCTTGCAGTCAATCCGCGATATAAGCCACGGACACCCTCCTTCCGTATGGTCTGCATGGTGCAGTCGAATGCGTTCTTGTATTGCCGCCCGCGGCCATCCGAGTGTGTGTTTTTGTCCAGTTGCAGTCGTGTCTTGACCAGCCAGATGGGATTCGTAGCGGTCCCAGTCACGATACCAGCCGCTGCTGCACTACACAGATGTACCCATGCAGCCTCTTGACCATTGTTGAAATGTGTGCTGATCAGACGCTTGCCGTTTCCGTATGCAAAGAAGTTGATTGCGCGTGCGGGGACTACTCCGATGAGATTTGGTCCCAGTCCTTTGAAGAGAGCTCGCCACCCCTCTGCCTTTGGAACCTGCCATAATATCTCTCCAGTTTCCCGTATGTGCAGTAGCGAGCTGCGGCCGAAGGACATGGTCTCGATGGGGGGCAGGCCGCGGGCGGTGCGCATTGCGGCGAGATGCTGCTGGTAGAAGGTGGATTGCAGCCGAGTCTTGAGGACATCGAGCGGGGCTGTCAAGGTTGCTGAGGCCATGCCACCCAGGCTGTGACAGTGTTAGTCCTCAAGGCGTGGTCCAGAGTGAACTGTAGTCTTACCCTCCGGCGACAAAATGCGCCCACGACTTTCCAGACTTGACATCTTGTTTAGCTACCGGTGTCCCATCTGGCTGTTTTGGAGGGGTGACTTCTCCCAGCTCTCGCGACGAAGGGGGCAGTGGTTGCAGCGGCTGGGTTGTGGCGTCTCGGAGGCCTCGAGGTCTGGGTGCTTCTTGCAGTGGCATCGAGGCAGGGGAGGCGCGTGGCGATTGGTGGCGGCGTGGGTTGAGGAAGGCGCACGCAAAGTCAAGGGTCGGAGGTTCGGGGCGTCGGCTGCTGTGGTATCATGAGGGGAAGTCGTCGCGCCGGGCAGTGGAGGGTGGTGGCATGTGTTTGCACATGCAGCGGTCCCCAGATTTTTGGAATGGCCATCCAAAGCGGCTAGCGGCTGGCGAGACTACCGCGGCGTCATTCACACCCCAGTGCCATGGATTGCGCTGTGAGCTCATCGAGGCCCCTGGGAAGAGCACACACCTCACGCAGCCATGCGACCAACATCGGCGTGCCTCGCGCCTGGCTTCGTCAAGCGGAGTCTGGACGAGTTCAAGCGCCTCTCCAACTTCGGTGAGCTCTGCAGCTGCATGTGTGCATGCGCCGCCACTGACACGCGCAGCACTCAAGCTCGAGGGCCTGCGCTCCCCGTCCAAGCCCTTTCCGCTTATGCACTTCGACCACGCTGAGGATCTGGAACGATGCAAGCGCATGAGCGACAAAGACATCGGCGGCTTCTCCACCGTCAACTTCGACCACCATCCTGTCTCCCAGACGGAACCCCCCCACGTCCGCTTCCATGGCACCATATCCACACAACTGCCACACAACCAGCCACACATCCAAAGAACGGGCTATGCCGGATGGAGGACACTTGATCGAGGCTCCACCATCTTTGGCAAGTCCCTGTGGGACGTGAGCATGTACAACTTCCTCGCAATCCAGTTCAAGTCGGACGGCCGCAAGTACTTTGTCAACGTGCAGACCGAGTCGATTGTTCCTACAGACATCCACCAGCACCTGCTGCACTCCAAGACACCGGGCGAGTGGGAAACCATTCTAATCAGGTGGAACGAGTTCGTGCGGACGAACCATGGGCAGGTCGTAGAGCCACAGAGGGAGATGTTGACACAGAAGGTGAGGACGGTGGGCATATCCTTGATAGACCGCATACCGGGGCCCTACGATCTGAGCATTAGCAAGATTTGGGCAACAAATGCGACAAACGAGGACGAGTTTCTGAACAGCGCTCCTGTGCCGCGTTTGCAGTCAAGTGCAAACGATCTCAAGAAGGTCGCGAGGAAAGACTCAGGATTTGGCCATGCGTCACGGGAAACAGTTGCATAGATGTAGACGTTCATATCCATATCAAACTATGAAATCTTGTTTACAGTCGTGAAATGAAGTCTGTACCGCCATATCGCCGGCAAATTGATGGCTTGGTAACCTAGGCACCAATCGGGTAGTGATTGGGGCTCGCGACAAGTATTGTACGCGCTGCGCGCCGCCTCGGTTGTTCATTCCCTCCCACGACCTCCAGCAAACACCACATCCTGGACGTCGCAGCCTTGCCTGACAGTCAGCAATCGCCTTACCTGGATACAATGCACATATTGCGCGGAATCACACGACAAAGGTTTTTCTGTTGGCGATAATCGCCAACGCTGACACCGTCAACGCCCAGCGCTGTGTTCTGCTACAAGCATTAAACCGCCAAACAAACATGGCCACACCGCGCTACCTCACGGCGCAAAAGATCAGCCTTCTTGTCTTGACCCGTCTCTATTGCACTTCAAGTCTTCCCTATTCCGCTACGATACCCGTACTTTCCTTCATCTTGTCAAACAATCTTCCTTCGGCACCGTCCAGCGCTCGGCCACAGCGTTCCAACATCTCCAGTCAACAAGACACGTGTTTCTCAATCGATGCCTTTGAAGATGTACTTCAAGAACACCCCTCCAACATGC